TTATGTTCGAAGAATTGGTCACCATTTACTTCAATTGTATTGGACTTGGCTGTAACACTGTTTACCCCTGATACTGCAAAAGTGTTTTGTGGACTCAAACACTTCACCCAGCCCTCTATCGGCATAGTGGTGAGCAGAAAATGAGTTCATTTTTGGGTGAACTATCCCTTTACATGTTGAGTGTGTGAGATTTAGGTGAAGGGGATCTATTGGCAGGAATTGAATATAATATAATACAATCCTAGTGTTGTTATCACTGCTGTCTAATCATCTAAATTGCATAGATTGTTGTTTTCTTTAGCTTTAGATTAAAACTATTGATATTTACATCAGGAGCGGGGCCTCTCTACGGAGGCCGCCATGTTTTTTATAAAGATTTCTGGACACTAGCACAGGTTCTCCTCAGTGAAGCTTTAAGATAAGGTGTGACTGAGTTGCATGGATCAGTTTCCCCTCCAGCCTCCACCCACCTGCAGCTCTTGGGGGTATTTGTTGTGGGCCTGGTCTTCGGGCAGCAGCACGTTGGGCGGTACGGAGAAGCAGCGGTTCACCAGCAGCGCCTCCATCCGCTCCAACAGCTGCTTGAAGCGCTCCTCCAGGAACTGCTGCAGTTTGCGGCTGCACTCCCGAGCCCGGGTCCGGAGCAGCTCCTCCGCCGCGTCCGACTCGCCTTTACTCAGCTGCCTCACACACACCTTCTCCACCACGGGTAAGATGTCGTACATGCAGTCCTGGAAGACGCTGTACACCCGCAGCATGCAGGTCTGCGGGGTGAAGCCGAAAAACTGCGCCTCGTACAGTTTTAAAGTGGACGGAAAGAGACTGTCTGCTTCTGCACCGACCTCCATGTTGCTGTCTTCCCGCGCCATGTCAAACTACTCTTCTTCTACCGACGACTTCCTGTGTCGTTCGTAGGACAACACGGTGCATTACCGCCACCAACCGGCATGGAGGTTAACTCTGGACTAAATACTGATTAATAAATACTGTTGATCCAATAAATAATCATTAATAAAACAAGAATAATAAAGACCACAACACTCTCACCTCTACTTGATCATACTGGGCTTTTAAACATCTGATCACAAAAACATCAACTTCAACATTTTACAATAAACCATAATG